TCTTAAAGTAGAGAATATACTTGACTTCATCTCAAGTAACACCTGCCTGGTGGGAGGCACTGCAAAGCATTCTGGGACTGCCTGTTCGGCCACAGCCAGAAAGAGGCCATGAGGGATTAGTGAGGTCTGTCCTGGGAGCACCGTGGAGGGTGAGCACCTGATTCCTCTACTGTGTGCAGTCAGGGGCCTTCATCCCTCGGTAATGGGGGGCTGTGGAAGGTTATAGGCAGGGAGGTGACATGATGACCTCTCCATGTGTAATGCATCCGAGCCCCAGTTCACAAACGCAGAGATGTATGGGAAATGGCAGCTTGAATGTTTTTCCAAAATTAAAGTTAATTACATGCAACTCAGTCCTCAGTCAGCTAGGCTGTTGAGAAGGTCACTCTCAGTCTTTTGGGGGGCTCTCCCAGAACCTGATGCAGCCCCAAAGCTTTGTGGGGAGAGGGGCGACAGGTCACGGACACCCCATGCACCGTGATCGTGGAGGGGCCCGTGTCCCTGCTCATGTAATCCATGTGGATTAGCAGCCTGGGCCTCAGGTCTTGCCCTCCTGGGGACACCAGGCAGCCCCTCCCTGGGATGTCTTGACACCTCTTCAGGGTGAAGCCACTGAGTGGTGTGTGGGTGCCGGTTCTCTCCAGGACTGACTGCCATCCCTCCCCTGTCCAGCCACCTGTGTTTTCCTCATCTCCTCCTATGCATCCGAGCCCACCCCACACCTCCCTGGCTGGGTGGGGCATTCGAACTCATTCCCGTCCATGGGTTTAGGCAGGTACAAAGGTTGGGGAAGCAAAGTACCATATCTTCTAGGCAATGCTAGCTTGTAGCCCAGGACCAGAAGCAAACCCTAAAAGGCTAGACTACTTGCCTGAAATGGAAGAGTCAGGGGAGGAATCTGGAGCAAAAGCCCACACACTGGGGTGTGTGTGTCCTGCCCTGACATGCATTCCAGCATCCTGTGGACGGGGCCCAGGCATAAGACTGGATGGAAAGGGGCTGTCTGTGTGTGTGTGTGGAGGGGGGCATCTGCATCTGCCCAGATGCAGGCCCAAGAGGCTAATAAGCAGGCTCAGTGGTGAAGGGGGACAAGTTCCTGAGGTAACAGGCGTGGTTTTGCCCCTCAGGGAACATTTGACAGAGTCTGAAGACCTTTCTGGTTGTCACAGATTTGGGGGATGTGGGGAGAGCGGTGCCACTGGCTTCTAGGGGGTAGAGCAAGGCCACGGATGCAGCTCAGTCTCCCACAATGCACAGGGCGGCCCCCCAACAGGGAATTCTCCGCAACTGAATGTTGAGGAACTGGCTTGAGGCAACTCACAGTTTGCTGATTTGGCAATTTCTTTCTTTCTTTCTTTTTTTTTTTTTTAAGATTTTATTTATTTATTTGACAGAGACACAGCGAGAGAGGGAACACAAGCAGGGGGAGTGGGAGAGGGAGAAGCAGGCTTCCCGCCGAGCAGGGAGCCCGATGCGGGGCTCGATCCCAGGACCCTGGGATCATGACCTGAGCCGAAGGCAGACGCTTAACGACTGAGCCACCCAGGCGCCCCGGCAATTTCTAAGTCTTACAAAACCCTTGGAATGTAGGCTTTTATTTCCGTTTAACAGATGGGAAAATTGACATTAGGGGAAGTCAGCTGGCTCAACGTTGCTCAGATGACTAATGGCTGAACTGAGTTAGAGTGTAAGCCTGCCTTCCCTCAGAATGTTCAGTTCGGTCTGCTGGAGCGGTCCACACAGAGATTTGGTAAAATGAATTTGTTTTCATCTATTATAAATAGAGCCAGGAAGACAAAGTGGGTGGAAATGAATTTGAAAAGTGGAAATGTTCAACAAATGGGCCTTGGTTAGCTAAACAATATGTAAAGTACTTGTAAACTTTTGAACATGTTCACTGTGGTTAGACATATATTTAACAATTTATGAAAATTAAAAATTTATAAAAATTTCCAAACGAGTAGAAGAGACATAATTGGCTGAGAATAAACTTGGGAGGAAGAACTCCTGGAAAACCTCCCCCAAATTCCAGATCCTTTTGTTACTTTATTGCTTGGTTAATTTGTCATTGTTTACGTTCCTTTTGGTAACCGTTGTTGTTGTTTTTACATTTGCAGCGAGTGCTCATTATAGGAAAGTCAGAAAATTAGGTCAATCCAAAAATAAAGAAACTTCACGAAGAACCTTCTACCCGCTTACCCTCCCGAGGTCAAACGCGGCCTGTTTTTCCAGGACCTTTCTCTACGGACATTTGTATGAATGTATTTTCCTTCATCCTTTCACTCCCCGATTCTTGTTTCTTCTTTCTTCCTTTTTAGCAAAAATAGGATTACCCAGTACTTTCTCCTTCGTGAACTTCCATACTTTATGTAACTAATGCCCTATTTAGGACACGCAGATTGTCTCCAACGTTTTGCTGTGACAGAGCGCACCACACACTGAGGAGGAGGCAGGTGCGACAGCCACATACAACGCAGACCTCGCAGCAGTGGTGTCAGGTGAAGAAAGCCCGACCAGACGGGGACAGTGTGATTCCATTTACGTCATCTTCTAAAACAAGTAGGCAAAACTCAGCCACGGTGTGTAGAGATGCACCTCAGGAGACAAGAGTATAAAGGCAAGAGAAGGTATGTGATTAGGGCAGACGCAGGGTGGCCGGGATGGTGTGTCAGGAAGGCATCCGGGGACACGTGGGGGCCGGCAGTGTCTTGATTCCTGACTGGGTGGTGTTCATGTGGGCATTTCATGATAATTCACTAAGCAGAATATTTATGTGCCTTTATGTACATGGCATTTCACAATACATTTTTTAAAAATGAACAGAATTAAGATAGGTGGCGGAAATATTAACTAGAAATTTAAAAGAGGGTAAAACAATTCTGAAATTTAAGCAAAATACTTGAGGCTCAAAAGGATGCATTACACCTCCGTACTACATCAAAATCCCAATTTTTGAAAAATGCGGACCATATTTTTATTTAAATTCAATTAGCCAACATATAGCACATCATGAGTTTCAAAAGTAGAGTTCATTTTTTTTTTTAAAGATTTTATTTATTTATTTGAGAGAGAGAATGAGAGAGAGAGAGCACATCAGAGGGGATAGGGTCAGAGGGAGAAGCAGACTCCCTGCCGAGCAGGGAGCCCGATGTGGGACTCGATCCCGGGACTCCAGGATCATGACCTGAGCCGAAGGCCGTCGCTTAACCAACTGAGCCACCCAGGCGCCCCAAAAGTAGAGTTCATTTAATCATCAGTTGCATGTAACACCCAGTGCTCATCACAGCACGTGCCCTCCTTAATGCCCATCACCCAGTCACCCCCTCCACACCCACCGCCCCTCCAGCGACCCTCAGTGTGTTTCCCAGAGTCCAGAGTCCCTCATGGTTGGTCTCCCTCTGATTTCCTCCCCTTCAGTTTTCCCGCCCTCCCCCTGTGGTCCTCTGCACTATTTCTTATGTTTGTGGACTCTGTTTGAGACCAAACTGTCCTCTGGGCTGAATTGTGTGTCTCCCCCCACCCCCACAACTTGTTCTCAACCGGATTGTTTTCTTTCAGATTGCTTTTGTTTTTGACCAAGTCAAAAACATTGGGTTCCACGCTGGGTGTGGGGCCTGCTTAAGGTTCTCTCTCTCCCTCTGTCTCTGCCCCTTTGCCCCTCAAAAAAAAAAAAAAAAAAAAAAAAAGGGAAAGGGCGGGGGAAAGGGGGGTCCTGGGGGCAGAGGGGCCGAGATCAACTTCCCGTGACCTAGGGGCTTCACTCTACGGTGGCCCCTCCACTCTGGAGACTTGCCACTGAGCCCCCTTCTCTCTCTGACCTGTGGCAGTAGGTGGTACTCCCCTCTGGGACTGGCACATCCATAGCCAGGCATGGGGGGGGCCTGCACTCATCTCCTAAATCTCATCTTGCCCGAGACGCCCCCTCACATTAGCTGTCAAGAAGTTTTGGATCCTGATTCTGTTAGGCAGTCTGGGTGTCTTCTTACCCCCTTGGGGGGTCATCCTCAGATGTGGAGAATATGCCATCCATACCTGAGTCCAAATTATTGTATTAGTGTTGACAGGGACAGGGTTGGGGACAGTATCCCATTCATGTCACTGGATGCCTTCTTGTAGATAGACCTGCATCCACCAATCTAATCTCAGTGGGACCACAAGGTATTTATTTATTTTTAAAGATGTTATTTATTTTAGAGAGAGTGAGAGAGAGAAAGAGAGCATAAGTGGGTGGCAGAGGGAGAGGGAGAAGCAGACTCCCTGCTGAGCAGAGAGTCCGATTCTGGGCTCGATCCCAGGACCCCGGGATCATGACCTGAGCCAAAGGCAGATGCTTATTGACTGAGCCACCCAGGCGCCCCAGGGACCACAAGTAATTTATTGATACTGAAATTTGCAAGTGATTTTCTCTTTGTACAACAGAGCAGAGTCCAGGCTAGTCCTGTGAAAACAGTATTCTCATTTACTTGCAATCTGATGAGCTTTCTTGAGTTGGGGAGAAAGGGTGGTGTTCCTTCTGCTTCTGACAGGTGACTCAGACCCAGGCCAACTCTGCCTCTGCGGAAACCCCCAGAGGGACCCCAGTTCCTCTAGACAAGCAGGGATTACTTTCAGCCCTGAGGCAGCTCCCTTCTATTCTTTGGCAAGTTTATTTCCACTGCTTAAAAAAACCCACACTCACCTTCCCTCTCCATGCTCTCTAACCCCAATTACCTTACCCGTGCTTAGCCATCCTCCCTGCCCTCTGCTTGCCAAAAAAAGGACCAGGGCGGTTTTTTTGTTTGTTTGTTTTTTATACACAGGCTGCACTCTTTACACTGTGTTCTCGTTGTTCTCTACAAAGGTGAATCTGAAATGACTTTTTTTTTTAAAGATTTTATTTATTCATTTGAGACACAGATAGAGAGAGAGGGAGAGAGGGAGAAGCAGGCTCCTCGCTGAGCCAGGAGCCCGATGTGGGGCTCGATCCCAGGACCCTGGGATCATGACCTGAGCCAAAGGCAGACGCTTAACCATCTGAGCCACCCAGGTGCCTCTGAAATGACTTCTAAAGTACATATATTAAGATAGAAGAAATTTTAAATAAAAATCAAGGTCAAGAAAAAGACTAGGGGGAACTTAAATACACACACAAATCACAGGGTCTCATAATTACTAACAGTGAGGTGTGAATTTGGCTCTGAGCTTCCTGGCAGCCTAAGCAATAAGAGAAAGGTGATCCATTTAATGATTCACTTTTTCCCTGAGGAAACACACACCCATTCTTCAGGGAGAGCAATGGGATCCCTGCTCTGAGTTCCGGCAAGTGGTTTCCCCCGCCACTGAGAGCTGTAAGCATGGTGAGGCAGTGTCTCACCCCAGTCCTCTCTTGGTCATCTGTCTCCACTGATGACTCTTCTGGGCCCCATGCTGTTCCATGGCCTGTGCTGGTCTGTGCTTGCCCTGCAGTTGTGCTAACCAAGGCTCTTCATGACAAAGTTGCAGAGAATTGTCAAAACCTCATGGTCTCGCAGAGTTTACACTTGAAATGTGGCGTCTTTGTTGACTGGCTAGGGCTCTGGCGACTGTTGTTCTGAATTTGCCATTGGAAAGACACATGCAAACGCTGGGACCTAAGGCACCTCTCACTCTTCTGAGGAGGTGCCTGCAAAATGGAGGCATTTAATAAGGGTCTTTCTGGCTTTGCCAGCCCTGTACTTCCTGGTTTCTCTTTGAGAGTCTCTGAGCCGCCTTGCAGGGCTGGAGGGGTTTTAGGATTTAACTTTTTGAACAGCAACTAGGTGAGGTACCACCTGAACAAAACACCCCCTTCTCCCCCTTTGGCCACAGTCCATCCCTGAGTCACCCTCTCTTCGCTCCCCCGTCATTTTAACCACTTCCTGCTTGCCTTTTGTTGTCTAGATAGCATGGTCAGAATGACATATTTGAACACTTCCCTGCCATCTCATGTAATTTTCCCTTCCAGGCTGATTCCTTTTCTGAATGTTAGAATTCTGTCTTCTGAGGATCTAAGTTACATTTCTGACAGCGCTAGTAAAATAATGATGTTCGCTCATATGTATTGAATGCTCCCGAAAGGCAGGCACTGGGCTCGGCTTTTTCCATCCCGTCTCTCACTCCTCCCAACAGCCCCAGGAAATAGATACTGTGATTATCCTCATTTTTCAGAATGGGAAGAAGGAGCCCAAGACCAGTTGTCCCACGTCACCCAGAGTGTAAAATGTGGAGCTGGCATTGGCCCTCGGATCATCTGACCAGAGTCTGTGTGCTTGACCATCACCCAGGACCCCCTTCCACGGTATCTAAAGGACATTCAGTCCCCCTGAGGGTCTCTCGTTCCCCTGTTGATCAGGATTAGTGCCAGAGCTCCGTGGTGACGGCGTCTTCTCCCTCCCGGACAATGGGAATATCAGCAAAGCAAGAGTTTGTCAGATGTTTTTTAACGAAATGATGACCTTTCCAGCAGATGATTTGGGTCTCCCAGCCCTACTGGCCGCTGGGCAGGCTGGGGGACTGCCCCCAGGTTTTATCCAGCCCGGCCATCTGGGTGACCAACATCGTTGCTTGGGCTGGTGTTTCTCCCTCTTCCTCTGTCCCCTAGGCCCTCCTGGGTGTCTCCTCTCCCAGGCCCATGGTTTCCTTGAAAGTAGACGTTTTCCTGACACACAGCTCCCTACCGTGGGTGTCATTGCTCACCTCTGCCCCCAGGTGAGGCCGAGAGCACCCTAGCAAAGGCTCGTCTCTCTTCCCTCAGGGCCTCGATGAATCTCTCCAGCCCCTGAGTCCCGGGGCCACCAGCTCCGTCCTGACCTTGGGGCCACACCCTTTGCTCTGCGCTGGCTCTTGCTTCAGTTGTCCCACTAAATCCTCAGACTGTCTTCACCAGAGATGCTGCCTTCATGCACAGTGAGGGCAGATCCCAGAAGCTGCAGCCCAGCAGAGCCCGCCCTCCTGTCTGCCAAAAGCGTGTCCGTCACTTGCCTCCAACATGCAGCTGCTTTTTCCTCTGGGCAAACGTTCACCCCCAGTCAGCATTGAGTGGTCCCATCTGCTTCACGTGGTCCCCACAAGAAAGTCCCATCAGTTCCACATGGGACAGAGTGGCCACCCAGTCAGTGCCAAGCCCTGAACAATGCTTCCTGCGGAGTCCCTGCCTGTGGGGCCTCCGGCCACTGGAAGCCAAATGCCCTTAATGGATGGAAAGGCCCGAGTGTTTAGCGGAAATGAGAGGCTGCTATTCCAGAGACTCTTGGTAGAGAACCTTGCTGTGTCCCTCCTCGTCTAGGTCTTGGTGACGTCTAAGAGGTGGACCAAAGTGGCACTGGATTAAAGGGAACTCCAAGGCTACATGGAAGTGTGTTAAGTAAATATGGGTTGAATAAAATGATGTCACAGGGTCCACAACCCAAAAGACGTGGTAGAGAAAGAATGTCTTCAACTCCTGTACAGAATGTCTTCCTCAAGAGTCTGCTGGGTTATTGTCACAAGAGCCCCGTGAGATTCAAGAGTCAGGGGCTAACCCTCAGAAGGGACAGAGAGGGAAGTGAAGATGGAAGTGAGGACAATGACTGACTTAGCAATGGCAATCCACAGTGGTCTTGTGTGTTCCTGGTTTCTGCCTCATTAACTGGAACCTAAGGTCCCTTCACAGAAAATAGATAGCTGCATTCAAAGGCTTTAAAAAGAAAAGATGCCAAATATGGAAAATGGATTACAGGGTGACACAGCTCTTGCAAAAACGGAGGCAAAGGAGTGTGGGCTCTGGAGTCCGAGTCCACCAGCTCTGTAGACTCAGGGCCAAACAGCTCGCCTCCCTCTCTGCCTGTGTCCCCGCGCCCCCAGAGATGGGGCTAATGACCGTGTCACCCCCAGGGCTGACATCGGGGTTCCAGGAGGCCTGAGTTGACCATCAGGGTGACGTGGACACACACGGCAGAAGGAAGGCCACTTCATCAGGCTACTGTGAACAAGCAAAGTCAGGAAACCTTGGGAGTAAGATTTGTCATCTTGCGGGGGAGGCTCTCTGTGCGAGCTGACTTCGTGATTATCTGCGGCTCAGAGCTTCCTGTCCTCGGTCACAGTAAACAGGGAGCCGGCGCTGCGGCGGATCGCGCCTTCCATCCCTGTTGCAGACCGTTCCCTCTCTGGTGGGTTTGCTTTGGAACCTGTCCACCGAGGTGGGTTCTAGAATCACACATCCTAGACTGGCCCAGCACGTGGCCCTGCTTTTTGGAAAAAGCAGAAGGGCGAGGCTACTTTTCCCAAGTAGGAGTACCAGAAAGATCCTTTTTTTTTTTTTTTTTTTAATAAGCCCCGCAGGCTGCAGACCATCATAGGTAACTTCTAGGGCTCCATAAAAACCTTTCAGAATTCTTAGGTAGTTTTAAGAATAAGAGGTCACTAGTAAAGAAGGAGAAAGCCACCCTTTCTCTCCCCTTGACTCTGAACAAGTGCTTTCTTGAGGGAGCCAGAAGAGGCAGGTGGGGATGGAGCTGGGCTCAGAGGCTTGCAGGGCGGGGCCCGAGGGCCAGAGCCAGTCAGTGACCCTAGAAAGCAGCATCCTAGAAAGGGCAGGGTTTTTTTGTTCTGTCCCTCAGCTCTACGATAGAGCCCAGCTCAATCCCTATTTGCTAAATGAGTGAATGTCAATTAACCAAATGGGTTCATACGTGAAACAACCCCTAAAGCAGGTGCCTTGTCTCCTCTCAATAGCATGCGTCCTTCACGGTCGGCTGTCCTCCCTGCACGTGTCCATCACACACCACGTGCTCTGCCCCCCGCCCCCCCGTTCCCTGCAGGCTCGCTCCTGTCCTAGCAGACACCCGCTTCCTCCAGGGCCCACCTGGAAAGCCACCATCGCTGTGATTTTTCATGGCACGTCCCTGCCCAACTTTATTCCTCAACTGACTATGTGGCGTTAAATTGTGACTACATCCCTGTCTTTCCCAGCAGAGCGTGGGCATTAGCAGGGGTGCCGGTGTGGTGACAGGGAGCCCAGGGCGAGTGCGGAGCAGGGAACAGGTGAGAGCAGCAACCACATGGCATCGGTTCTGAGGAACGCATGAGCTCTGCCCGGGCCACGCCACCTAAATTCTTATCACAGAACCCGAGAGCTGAGAATTTTTGGCCAGTGAATTTTCCAGGCAAATAAAAAGTCTGATTAATTAACTCAGTTCTGTAAGTAAAAACCATGAAAGGGTACAAAACATCAGGAACACCAACATTTCTTTAATAATGAAATAATTTATTTGTTAACGGTGGAACAGTACAGAAATTTACATATACACAGCAAAGATCTCTAAAACATGTAGTAGTTCTAAAAATGCATATGCTAACTGCAGTAAAAAGCACCATTCTCTAGATCTTGACACAGGATTTACATTGGCTTCATATTTACATAAAGAAATAAACATCTGGAAACAGAATTCCATACTCTCTCATCTGCTGCTCCCCCGTTTTAGGCTGTGTTTACCAGTAGGAAGATGGCCCCAACATTGATGGTTAACAGCAACATTCCCGGAGCACCAAGTCTAGGGACAAGGGGTAAAGGCAAGTTTGGTTCTCAGGTAAAAGTGAAAATGAAGGATGACCCATCAACTCACCACTCCCCACAGAGTAAGAAATCAAAATTAAAAATTTCGATAAACCTTAAATTGGGTGCCTTCCTAATTCTCATTTTATGATTTTGAGAGAAGACAAAGATACTCAATTTCTTCAGCCATTCAGTAGCTGACTCTAGCAGTGCAAGGCAGTTATTTCTTCTTTCAGAAGAATATAAGAAAATCATCCATGTAACAAATATTAATGAAGAAATCATGATAAATCACGTATCACCCACATACCCTTCCCCGTCCCCAGAGAGCTTTGAAAACAAGACATCTCAGTCACAGAGATCTGAATGAGAAAAACCACCCCATCTGAAAGGGTCTTTGGGTCATCTCCCAGAAAGGATTTGAAAACTCAGTAGCCAGCTACCTAAGCATACTGCATCCAAGAGTTAGCCACAGAAAAAAAACCAACCCCAGATTGACCTGCAGGAAATAGCCTTGCAGCCGTTGACTTCCTGGGGTTCAACACACAGGGCAGGTAGAGGAGGAAGGCAAAGCAGCTTGGGGAACAAGTAAAAAAGGAAGAGAAGACAGATTCAGGAATAGATTATAAAGCACAATGAAAGTGGTATTCTTGCCAATACAGCATGGTATAAAAACCTAAATAATGTGTATGTATATACTTTTCAAAAATCAGTTTTCTCTTTAAAGGATGGGGCAGAGGCAAGAAGAAAAAAGCCCAGAACACCGATTTGTGACCCCCCAAGACCCCGCTAGACGGTTATTTTGAGCATCACCATCCTACCTAGTTGACACTTTTTTCCTCCCCACCCCCCCACCCCAGGATCTACTCTTGGCCACTTCAGGGATGGATCAGAGAGGCCCACAGGAAACCCAGGTAAGGACCCTTTGTTTCTTTTGGTGGCGGGGGCGGGGGAGGAAAACGCCTCCCTTAGAAGAAATCCGCTCACAGGGGCCGAATGCCAGGTCAGGGCCCTACGTAGTGCTCACTGAACTGACCCTGAAACTGAGTCTGGGGTAGACTGGGAGAGGAATTTAGGTCCTGCTCGAAAAAGTGATTCAAAAAGCATCACAAACTAGCATTAGGTCTGTGACTAGACACAGGAGTCAGTGGTCACTAGCAGCACCTTGAAGAATTCAAGATCTTTGCTCAGCAGCAGAAACCCACACACAACCCCCTGGGTGCTTCACCTGCCGTTCTAAGCCAACAGGCGGGGAAAGCTAGGCTTTCTGGGCTGTTCACAGAAGCCCCCAGATGTATTTTCTCACTGCATGAAATTGGACTACATACGCTTATTTTCCCATCTGCATTGCAATGGTATCGGTGAGAGTATAGATTTCGTCTTTTAAAATCAATTTTACATAAAAATATGCATGTGCCTATATTTACACACCTCTATAGTTACGTACAATTGTCAAAGTCTTAAAGGCTGGGGTTTCTATCTTTGCCCACCCCCCCAACCCTCATAGAAAGGTTTTTCATTTTGCTTAAAAAAAAAAACCCCAAAACAACCAAAAAGACTTTAGAGCTCTGAACAGTCACGCTGGTGGATCAGTGAATGACAGGACAGGTTGGCAAATCAGGGCTGCTGCTGAGCCGCATGGGGAAGGGGTGGGGTAGCTGCCTCGGGCTGAGTTTGCTGGTCCTGAAGGTTACAGTTTTGGTTAGAGAGAGGCCTAGCTCGCATGCCGACTCGGTCCACCTCTTGGGCTTTGAAAGGTCTAACCCTGGCGTCAGCTTATCACAAGTGCATTAAAAATATATCCATTTCCACATTTACATATGCGATCAATCAAATTGAAAAGGACCAGACAAAAACAGTGCAAAGGTCAAATAATTACTGTTTTATATTGGGACAGTACATTTCATATTTCAACCAAAAGACAAAAAAATGCAGTTTAACTTAAACACAGAAAATAACGGCATCTCTCAGATGCCTTATTTCTAAATCGAACAAATACACAAATTCTGTTCCCTTCCCTCCCCCAATGCAAGCCCACAAGCTTTGCCCAAAGTCTTGAGTTTTCGATGCCATACGGCATCCAGCATCTTGGACTTGTGAGGCGCTTGAATGTAGCAATTAAAACGCTTGAGAGGTCTAGCGAATGGCATTCGAAAGGGACCTCAAAGTGCAGATATATCTTTTCAAACATGTTACAGGCTGAGCTGGCTCGTTGAACACTATCACTCTGCTTAAATTCAGGAAGCAGGCTTTAAAAATGCAAAAGGCATACAAGTTGTATTTCAGTGCAAATCTTCAGCTGGTCATTGGAAAAGATTCCAACAATAAAAAAAAATCCTTTGTGTCACCTGCCCCTCCCCCCACCCACCCAAAGCTGAAATGCAGGAAAAAAACAGAACAAAAACAGAAGTACAGATGACTTTGGAATCATTTAGGAATCGACTACTTCCAATTAAAAATTTTAATACAGTAGAGAATCATTAAAATGAAAGAACAAAAGTAATCTTGCTTTGTTTAGACCGCTCTTCGTGTATAGAATGAGCTTCCGCGTGGAGGGCGTTTGAACTTTGAGTCGTGTGGAAGGTGGAGGCGCCGGAGGCGTGGCGAGGCTGGGGGGCCAGAGACCGCGGGCAGCGGGGGCTCGGGGCGGCCACCCGCCCGCCTGCCGCTGCTTCAGCCGTGGAGCCCTTAGGTTGCAGTGCGTCTGTGGATTTTAGGAATGTTCTCGTCACTTTGTGACACACACTCTGTTTCAGCGTCACAGGTTTTACAAATGGTTCAAATTCAATGAAAAAGATTTGCCAGAGGCTGAAAACCTCGACCTCAAAAATATGAATGCAAAAATATTAAGGGGAATGAACCAATTTTGTAGATACCTACATACAAAGTTTCTAGAACATCTATAAAAGCACAAAGTCGTAAGAATTTGTTTTCCATTACATTAGTTTATATAAAATGAATAAATAGTATTTATAGATTTAATGTGTCTTATGTACATATACATGTGCTCTGTTTTAGCTTAAATAAAAATGCTACAAAGTGGGAGACCACTTAAGGGAGAAATCATAACCAAAAAGAAAGATCAGCCTTTTAAACTAGCAACCCAAAAGCCTCCATACAGAAGTTTCTGGGTGTATCCAAAAATAAGGAGAGGAATTCTAATAACACTGTACCATCCCCTCCTGTTCACCTGCAACACAGAGTAGAAATGCAGACTTTTCCTTTCACTGATGATGGACGCTAGCTCAGCTAGCGCCAAAGCTCAGTTATTGCTGAAAGTTAAGTAGGAAAATAGCTTAGAATTGGACCAAATGTCACTTATTTGGGGGTGGAAAAAAAAGGCATAATCACTTTGTGTTAAGTGGGAAATGGAGATCTCATTTATCTCTGAGGTAGGAAAAAAAAATGTTCCAGAGACAAGTAGCGTAACAAACTTTGAGGGAAAAACGTGCCTTGGGATAGCAGTACACAGCGCGGTCCCAAGAACATCGCACACAAAGAGATTGTACCGTCTTGTTTGTTCATGCTGGAACTTGCATGAGCTGTGCGACCCCAAAGACATGTTAGCACGGTGTCCACTTTCAAGTGAGAAATACTGCTCCCATCCACACGC